ACATTACTTGTATGTGACTAAATGCCAAATTTTTACTGATCATAAAAGTTTGCAGCATTTGTTCCATCAGAAAGAATTGAATATGTGCCAAAGCTGGTTAATGATTATGATTGTGAGATCTTGTATCATCCAGGAAAGGCTAATGTGGTAGCTGACACGTTAAGCCATAAAGAAAAGAGTGGTACAACTAAAACTATAGCATTAAGAGTTGAGTTATTACCAAGCTTTCACGAAAAACTGCAAAATTTTCAAGGTGAAGCGGTGAGAGAAGACAAGATCAAGCAAGAATAACTTTGTGGGGTATTGACTGAATTGGTAAAAGACAGTCGAGAATTATTGTATTTCCATAACAGGGTTTGGGTACCGTGCTATGGTAATCTTAGAGAACAAATTTTGAGTGAAGCTCACAAATCTCATTTTTCCATCCACTCAGGTGAGAATAAAATGTATAGAGATGTGAAACAATACTACTGGTGGCCGAGCAAGAAGAAGGATATAGCGAGACATGTAGATTAGTGTATGACCTGTATGGAAGTGAAGATAGAGCATCAACGACCATACGGTAAGTTGCAGTCATTAGAAATTCCAATTTGGAAATGGAATCACATTACAATGGATTTCATAACCAAACTACCTAGAACACATAAGGGATATGATGCTATATGGGTTGTGGTGGATCGATTATCTAAGTCTGCTCATTTCTTACTGATGAAATGATCGTATTTAATGGACCGACTAGTGAAACTATATATTGATGAAGTGGTAACACGTCAGTGTCCCATTGTCAATTATTTCTGATCGAGACGGTCGATTCATGTTTATGTTCTGAAAGAGTTTTCAAAGAGAAATGGATTCACAAATAAAGTTAAGCACGACTTATCATCCGCAGACTGATGGGCAAAGTGAACGAATGATTCAGACACTCGAAGACATGCTTCGAGCATGTGTTATTGACTTTGGAGGATCGTGGGATAGTCGTTTGCCTTTGATTGAGTTCACCTACAATAACAGTTATCACTCGAGTATCCAAGCAGCACATTTTGAAGTGTTTTATGGGCGAAAATGTCGAACACCGTTGTGTTGGAAAGAAGTGGGCGAGAAACAATTGGCTTGATCTGATATAGTTCAGCTGACAGCGGATAAGATTAATCAGATTCGTGAACGAATGAAGTAGCCCAGGATCGGAAAAAAAAGTTACGTTGATAAACGTCTTAAGCCGATTGAGTTTCAAGTCGGTGATAAAGTGATGTTGAAAGTATCACTCTGGAAAGGAGTTGTTCATTTTGGAAATAAAGGTAAATTGAGCTCAAGATATATTGAACCATTCCCTATCTTTGAACGAGTTGGAGAAGTGGCATACAAACTAGAGCTCCCTATAGAGTTAAGTGGTATTCATAACACTTTTCATGTATCAAATCTAAAGAAGTATCTAGCAAACCCAAAAGTAGTTGTGCCCCTACCAAAAATCAAAATCAATGAAAATTTGAGTTTTGAAGAGACCCCTGAAGCCATTACAGATTTCAAAGTAAAAACGTTGAGGAATAAAGAGATTGGATTAGTGAAAGTTTAGTGGCGTTATCATAAGAAGCCGGAAGCCACCTAGGAACCCGAGTCTGAGATGTGAGTAAAATATTCACATTTGTTTACTTAGTGGAATTTCAGGACGGAATTCCTTTAAGGAGAGGATATTGTAATGTTCGGTTTCACATTATAGTTGGTCATGTTTCAAAATTTATGGCAATGGAAGGTTCAAGGGTAAGATCTGGTATTTGTTGGAAGATGAGGGACCAATGGTGAAACATTTTTCACCTCTTCGTGTTTTTATGAATATAGTCCAATTGAATGTTGAGGTTGATTATATTCATGTGAAGGGGGAGGGTGTGCATGTCCATGCACTGTCTCAATCCCCCCTTTTCTCTTTGTGGTATACTTACTATTTATAGTAAGAAATATATACTAAAAGAGGTTTTCGGACTTTTGGAGAAAAACCCTTAGCAACTTGATCATCAAAAGGAAGAAAGTAGAAGCACTTATTGAGATTTCAGGCAAATGTGAGTTTTTACACTTTCTGGTAAATATGAGTATTACATTTCTTGTAGTATGCTCTGTTTACTAGACGATGTATTGATGTCAAATTTACATTACATCAAATTTGTTATAATCCTTCATCACACAAAGCATCCTCCGGTAAGACCCCTCATCACACAAGGCATCATCCAATAAGAACCTTCATCGCACAAGGCATATCTGAGAAGGCCTTCATCGCTCAAAGTGTCATCTGGTAAGGACCTTCATCGACCAAAGTGTTATCCGGATTGGATTTTCATCGCTCATAGTGTTGTCCGATAAGGACCTTCATTGACCAAAGTGTTGTCCGGATTGGACTTTTATCGCTCATAGTGTTGTCCGATAAAGACCTTCATCAACCAAAGTGTTGTCCGGATAGGACTTTCATCGCTCATAGTGTTGTCCGATAAGGACCTTCATCGACCAAAGTGTTATTCGGATTGGATTTTCATCGCTAAAGTAGGTTCATTTGCAATATCAATGACAACATGATTCCTCTACTAATGATTCTTTGAAGCTTTGTTTATATTACTTAAAATTGGGATTCACAATTGGTATCAGAGCAAGAAGGCAAGTGTTTTGATTCAGTTCAAATTAATTTTTTTTTAAGTCTGTTTTTGTGCGACTGCGTTCTTGATCCATTTGGTTATTTTTGGGGAATTATAGATCAATTCTTGCTCTAATTGATTTGATTTTAGTCATGGAATGAGTCTGAATCAATTTCTTCCACGAATGATAGATTTTGATCATAATTTTTGGATTTTTTGAGGAATTTTGTTGAACAGGTTGTTCTTCAAAATCAGGGTTGATTTTTGCAAAATTGCTTATTCTAATATGTTTTTGGTATAAATATCTTTGTTCATTGTGTTGGTATACACAATTTGACGCTCTTCTTAGGCCGCATTGGGTTAAAGGTACCAAGGCCATATTATTACCTGGTAGATGCTGGATACACAAATGGTGAGGGTTTCCTCGCCCCATATAGAGGTCAAAAATATTACTTAAATGATTGGCGGGATGGATACCAACCAACCACGCCAAAGGAACTTTTTAACATGAGATATTCCTCTGCAAGAAATGTCATAGAAAGGTGTTTTGGCATTTTAAAGGCAAGGTGGGGAATTTTAATAGATATCTCGTACTATCATGCTGAACTGAAAAACAAGATCATAATGACATGTTGTCCACTTCATAATCATATCAGGAGAGAAATGTCAAATGATCTGTTTAAGAATGATGGGTTAGACGAAACAACCGAAGATGATGGAGACCAAGACGTGGATAATGTCAGTTCTGTTGGGACATCAACTGAGTGGACTGCATTTATAAATAATTTGGCACAACATATGTTTGAGGCTTGGAATGCTACGCATTGACCTTTTATGATTTGTAATGCTAGAAGTTTATCTTTATGGTTTGTAATGAATTTGATACCTATGTTGCATAATATTATGATTAATAATGCTACAACTTGATTTTATGATTTGCATGTTTATTTTACATGTTATTTGTTTATTATTTAATTTCTTTAACAATAGGTATGGCGGATCGAAGTCATAATAGAAACTATCGAAATTGGACAACTATTGAAGATGCCAAGCTTGTGGAGGCTTTGGTTAACATGGTTAATACCGGATGATTTAAAGCAAATAACGGCTTTAAATGTGGATATTTACGGTATCTCGAAAAGGTGTTAAAAGAATTAATTCATGATTTTGGTATATTGGGTAAACTGCACATTGAGTCAAGAATTAAAACAATGAAAAATGATTGGCAAGTGGTCCATGACATGGTGAATGAGACAAATACGAGTGAGTTTGGTAATGATTATTTGAAACAATGTGTAATTGTCAAAGCACTAGTTTGGGAGTCTTACCTGAAGGTACCCGTTATATATTTGTTATATTTGTAGTTATTATTTGATATCTTTGCTAATTAATTTTTATGACATGAAATAGGTACATAAAGAGGCAGCAAAATGGAAATTTCCACAGTTTGAAGACTTGTCTATTGTTTTTGGAAAAGATAGAGCCCAAGGAAGTAGAGTCTGGAATGTTGTTGAGATGGAGGAGCAAGTGAATCTAGAAGAACAAAAATAACAATAAGAGGACACAGAAAGTAGCCATAATGTATGTAATGCTACAGATATACGAATTGAAGAAGGTTCAAGTCGAGGTAGTAAGAAAATAAAAGCCTGAGTTGAGACTCTTGTTGACGGAATGCATAGTGCAACTCTCTTACTTGGAGAGAGATTTAAAAATGCATTGAAAAATATGGTAGATATGGAAATGGATATACAAAACAAGACTGTCATGGTGAATTCTAAACTTGCAAAAATGCAAATCACTTTCTAGAGTGGAAAGGTTCATAGCAATCAAGAAGATAACAAGTAAACCTGATAACGTGTTACCTTTTTAGAGTTTGGAAGAAAGGGAGCGAGAGGAGTGGGTGAGGTTTCTATTGGAAGGTTGATTTTGGTTATGAATTGAAAGCTTGAATTTGGGTTTTGGAAGTAAAGTATGTAGTTAACAATTTCAGATGTTATCAAATCTTAGTAATTTGTAGTAAACAATTTCAGATATTAGCAATATAAGCGAACAGTTTCAAATCTTATCTAAGGTTAGTAATGTAATTTGGTTTAATGGTAATTTTAATTTTAAAGAAAAATGACAAAAAGAAATCATAAAAGACCATTTGTTGATATTTAATTCCGATCCAAAATTCAATTCCATAAACCAAACAAAAAAATTCCAATTCCATCCAACCAACGCAATCAAAAGACATGGTCAAATTCCATCAAAGTCAAATTCATTTGATGAATTCCAATTCCATCGAATTCCATTTTACAAACCAAACGCCTAAGTTATTGTTTTATTATACTAAAGTCTCACCAATAAAAAGCTTTGAAATTAGATGTTCAGAGAAGAGAGAATACCAAAAAACCACAACTTGATAGCAGCAAAATTCAAGGCCAGGATCTCAAATATAATAAGCTACAAACTTAATGTAATTTCCCCCACCCCCCCTGCAGGCCCTGCTCCTCCTAACAATTCGAATTCAAAAACATGAAAAACGTCGTTAAACACCATACAACCAACTATTGGCGRGCTTCGACTTTCTTCTTCTGCCACAGCCTGTCAAGTGCACTATCCGCATCTCCCTGCAAAAACACCCATTTTGCACAAACATGAATTTGATATGTAAAAATAACACTTGTATATATAACAATTATTACCGAAAGATTTAAGCAGAAGGGTAATAGCCATCTGACAAACTCTCAAGTACAAACAGACATGAAAGAAGAATTAAGATCAAACACAAATGTCATCTCTCTCATCCACTTAGAAAGCATTTCCTTTTGACACAAAATGCTTCAGCAGCTTATGACAGAATGCTCTCAAAATCATTCGTCATTGCTAGCTTTAATGCAAGTCATTAACTTATTCTAAAACATTACCACCGCTGGTGTTGCACCATAAAAAAGATGCAAATGAAATCTTATCAATATTTCCATAAAGTAAGCTAGACAAAGGATTTGATGCTTGAAATTTTAACCAAATTGCAAGACCTACCTGGGCTCGCACAAAACCACAGAGGGCAAAAGTGGAGAACTGGCCAGTGTAGCGGCCAGTCTCATCCACATGACCCACATTAACCTGAACAGATGCATGATCCTTTGAAGTGATCAACCTATTAGTAGCAGAACTGCAAAAATACAATCATATTGGTTAAGTCTACTGCATGAACATTGATACATGAGAAAAGGACTCCTTAATAACATACCACTTCCTGGGGATGTACAGATCCATGTTTTGTCCCTCTTCATTCTGCATCTTGGCGATTTCTTCACACAACAACTAATTTTATAGACCAACAAGTTTAAATTAACAACACCAAAAAGAAACAATTTTCAAGGATTGAAAATAAGTATTGTATTTGTCTAATCCAATTTCACTCTTGTAAAGGCCTAAAACTATTTCCAATGTGGTTTATAGGCTATTTAAAATTAAGTCCACGGTTTTATTTTGTCCATATGATTACATCAACTTTATAAATGGCTTCCAACTCCGCTATCTTTGTTCAATAAATAAAAGCAGAAGTATAGGGAGTATAAAGCATGTTTGAGTAGAAAATGAAAATCCACACTACAATTCTGCATACACACACATTGTGGATAGCAAGATCTCTTAGCACTAACTACAAGCATCTAAAACACCTGCCCATTGATCAAATTTCACAAATTTGCAAGCCATTGCATAAAAAGATCAACTTAACTCAGCCATTAACAGGTCCACTGTCATCCATCAAAACATACTCAGTTATCTTTCACAACCTTGACAATTCCCTCAATCACACCCCTCCCCAACAAAATGCACATAGACGCAATCAGCTCACCCATAATATAGATGCAAATATATCATTACCAGGTGTCAAACACATGTTCCATACAAATTTACAAATTTCAAAACACAACCAAAGATCTTAATTACCTTGCTTCAGCTGCGAAGCAAACTTAACTGACTAGAAACCCAATTCAAATCTCCCCAATTCCCTTCTTTTCCGTTCACCTAAGTAACGATTTCTTAATTGGAATGCTACATGTTCATTTACAACCAATGTTACAGCTACAAAACACAAACCATTTAATCAAAGCCTTGATTCTTTAGAAAATCACGAGAATGGGTAAAAACAACGGAAAATATGCAGGGAGGAAAAAATTTCAATAAAAAAAAACTGACTGACAAATAAGAAAACATCTGTTTTATGAATCATAAATCGAAGGTAGATATGAAGAACACAAACCTAGATTGGAAATCGGCGAGATATGAGCTGCTGCTGCTGCGTATTCGGACGGCTTCTGAAACCCTAATCAATTTATAATATAGTAAACTACGATTTTCGTCCCTGTGGTTTGATATTTCTATCTATTTTCGTCCCTGTTTTTTAAAAATTGCTTTTTTGTCCCTGTTGTTTCCATTGCCATCCCTACCTCTAACATCATTAAAAATAGCCGTTAAAAAAGTCTTGATAAATTACATATCTAGTCCTTGTGGTTTATAAAAATTTAAATACTTATTCTTGGATTTCATTTATTATATTAATAAACTATAAATTTGAAACTTACATATATTCTGTTCTTTTTACTTTTTCTTTCTTCATTATAATTTAATATTACATATAACACATACATAGAACGATAATCAAATAAGAACCAACAAAACTCATTTTAAACCAATCTAGGTTTTAGAACGAGTTTAATAAAAAAAAACTCTCGATGTTTTTAAAATAAACTAGAAGCGTACTCGCGCAATGTAGCGAGATACATCGTGTTTTTAATATTTCATTTTATTATTTCTCAGTCGATGTTATAATATGGCTTTATGTGATTTTGAGAAAGCGATGATGTTTTTATTTTTGAATAAAATATATGTTTGACGATATTATAAAAAGTTGACAAAAATATATCGATATTAGTATCAAATTAACTATTTGAAATTCCTCATTTTTTTGTGTAATTTTTTAATCCAATTTTTTTATAATTTAATTTATGTACAATAACGAAATAATTTATATTTGGTTTAATAATATAATTTTTTATAAAGATAATAATTATTTATTTTGTTGGAAC